CTCTTAGCCAGTCGGTTCTGTCTAAGGATTGACGGCCCTAACATATGGTACTCCTACTCCATTTCCGGTGTAGGTAGATACATTTAGTTAAGTTGTAGTCAATGAAATTTTCAGGCATTTTCCAATGTTATTCACTTTATATCACTAACTGTTCCAGTCAACAGAAGCATAAATCTATCTGGATCCTGTATGTCATACTGTTTACTGCCCACTCACTTTTTGATATCTGCCTGTTACAATCACTAATGTACCCTTTACTGGCGGCATTTTATAGAAAACAGTTTTTTTCCATACCAGTCAGTTTGGTAGGAGCTTTGGATCACTTTTCATATTTGACATTTCTTATTTTACACTCCTTCATTTTAGAATCAGTGGAAAGGATAACCTTTATTTGTGACTTTATTTTACGGGACTTAGTAGCTTGGTGCAGTTGGTAAGAAGCGGCCACTTCTTGCCAGGCAAACTAGTCAACGTAGAAGCAGGCACAAAAGTTCATCAATTCAAGTTGCTGTATTTCGCATCAGCATGCAAAGAAAAAGTGGATGCAAAAGGAATGACACTAAAGTAAAAAGCTGTGTATAAGAGAAGCGACAATAAGTGAACCAAAGTTAGTGAAAATGTTCAAAATTTCAAAAATGATAAATAGTATGTACATCTGAACTATTCTGACTGATTTTGAACTGTCCGACCATAGTTTCCTACTTTTGATTCTTATTATCTTAAGGACCCAGGCATGTAGGCTGTATTTTGAAATCGACATTCGGAGACTTCTGTAATCGGTAGTTAAAAATTGGTCACAGAGGTGCAGATGTGTTCACTACTTGGTTTCTTCAAAAGCTTTACTATTTGAACTAACCGATATCTTCCGATTGTTTGCTTTTCCCTGCAACTTTGTCTACTTTGCTACCACTCATTTTCTATCCACCTGTTCTTCGTATACTGCTGTGAAGTGTGGTAACTTCAGCCGATGCACTTCTATGCAAGGTTCTAGGTTGATTTTGTCCCTTTGTCAGAAGACTTCTTGAACTGGTGCCACCTCCTATCCCGGTCAACTGTCAATAGTCCTTTTGCATTCAGACTGTTATTTTGTCAGAAACCAAAAATGTAGGACGGATACAACTACTAAAGCAAGTTAGTCAGTTATTGCACCCCGCCACGTCCAACCCTATCCGTAAGCAAGTAGTTGGTCCACTCCAATCTTCAAGTGCAGTATTACATATAATGGATGTGAAACACAAATTAAGCATTCATACTTCTGTCTAGGGTATTAGGAAGACTGAATTCTGTCTGCATCTTCAATTGACAAGACTGTGTTGTCCGCGCACCGTAAGTCAAGCAGATTGCCTCAGGAGAATAAGTAAAACTCTCGAAAACCACTGGTACTTAGGGGTCTCATCAATCAGTATACACTAAAAGAAGTTAAAAGACATGACTATATTGTATATCTTAGTTAAGCACCACTGGATGCCATATAAATGATAAGACAGCCTAATTTTTTTGCTTATAAAAGCTTACGTTTTAATCACTGGTATTATTTTGACCAAAAGGTAATAGTCACTGATACGGATACACATTTTGTTTCAGCAACTTCGTTTGTTAGGGAGGACTTTCATTACTGAAAATGTTGAGTATAATATATATCTGTTCACTGAATTGCATATCTGCCTTTTGACCTATCCAGTTGTTTCGGTAAACATATCTTTTGAAGATTATTGAAAAGAAACTTTCTGAAGTTTACACTTTATCTAAGTGATGATGAATATATCTGAAATCACAATAGGCAAATAAAATCAAGAAATTCACATAACACTTTATCTCTTCTTGTTGTTGCAAACTGTAACAGCTTAGAAGTTAGGAATAAATAGACCGAAACAGAAATCAGTAAATGTAACAACAGCATCCTTAATATGTAGAATTTAAAAACAATGAGGAAACTTGATGGATTTTTTTAACAAAAAACTTAAAATTAAAACAGTGTTTAATGACATTTGTGGCAAATTTTTATGTTACATGACTAAAAATTCTAGAATAGAGAGTGTAACTTGTAATCCCGTTGTTACCGCAGTTGATATTGCACAATAATTTTAGTGGTTGTTTGTTTCGTGGAACCCGTGTTTCAACCATTTTGGTTCATTGATGGTTATAGCTTCACTGAGTTACCTCAGTTATTTGGACACCAATACTTAGCATCACCAGTGATTAGGCATACGCGATAACCTCATGTCATTTCCTTCTTTAGATATCATGTGCAAGAGGGGTATTTTGGAATGTGATATACCCCCGCTTTGTATATCCAAGCGTTGATGGTCACTTGAGTACCCTATGAGTGCCTGATATAGTATACGTTCAGTTATGTCAGTAGAAGGTTTTGTATTCTTATGGTGAACTTGGTGATCACTAATTTAAGAGAGTTTTTTCAAGCCATACTCAAATGCAGATCGACTCTGGACTTAGCAGGTACAAAAATCATATCAAACACCATGCAGCATTTAAGCTAGTTCTGGTAAGAACCTGGTTTTATTCGTTTCTACACTCATCAGTACACGTCTTCTGTGCATTTTTATTGATTATGATATCTTGAGGCAGAAAATCATTAGCGGGGCAATCGAAACGAGGCTTATTTGTTCTAAGTAGTTTGAAGGAGTTTCTCACAATGCAAAAGGCGTGATGATAACTGATATATCCTGCTTATGAACAATGATGAAGGGTGCATCCATATCTCTCTTTCCCCCTCAATAATCTTGCAGTCACTTTCTAACTGTGTTTTCAGCGGTTCACCAGTTACGTACAACTTTATTTTCCTGATAACGGGAAGAAGAAACCATCACAGGCATACGTACTATACACTTCTGTCTGTTACTTTTCAGGTTTTCTATTTTACTAGCTTGCTTCCGAATATATCTACATAAAATGTTCAGTCATTTCTTGCATCATTAAAGAAGGATAGTGATGTGGCAACTATCTTCAAAGAGACTAGCATTGAGTTTACAGTAGATTCGAATGCTCATTGTATATAACTATAACTACTATACATCCTGAGTGCTTGGGTACGAGAACTTTCCTCTTTTATTGGTTATACACCAGCGTAAACTTTAACAACTTTGACTATTGCTGGAAATATTTGTCACCATCACCTTTCCATAATCAAGAGGACTCGATAAAAAATTATGCACGAATTATATCTTTCATCTGCGAGAATAAACTGTGAATGTAGTATTCGTCAGAAAAAGTAGGATTTCATGTAGCATTCATGTTATGCAAGTATGTGAACTGAAGAATTTAACGTGAAACCCCTGGGTTTTGAGTTTTATAGTACAAACTTTTAAATCTTTATTTGTTAAAAATGATAGGGCCTATTGTTTGAGATAAAATAGTTTTGAGTACGTTAGTTATTTTTAAATACTATATAATTAGCTTAATCCCAAAACTTACTTTAACACTGCTTGTACCATGGTTAGAATTTCTTCGCGAAAGAATATAGTTTTAGGTGTAAACACAGGAGTATGGGAATTTTTATAAAAGTATCTTTACCAGTTGCCACACATCATAATGTAGCAAGAAAAGTCATCTAGAAATTGAACAATAATTGTATAACCAGAATGACAAAACTAAAGGAAATAAACAGATAAAGAGTTATAAGATATTCAATAAAAATGTAATTATAACCTTACTCCATGTTTCCAGTTGTCTTCAGGTCTTGGTTTTTTGCATCACATAGACGAGACCCACCAAGTTGCAGTTCCTTCCTCACTTGAAGCAGCCATAAAACTAATAGCTATGTTGGTACGTTACTTTGTGATTGGTTCGATGACACAATCATTTGAGTTCACGAACCGTTTATCGGTCTAATCGTAACATAACTTTTTCTATCTTAGCTTTAGTCTGGTCGCCTGAATCTGCAAAATTACTTACTCTGTATTGACATCACATGACACAGCTTCTCCAGTTTATGGGTATCCAAGGTTGTATTGGCTGATACACGATCCTAGCTTAAAACTATGTCTATGACTTCGATTTTCCTCTTTATTTTGTACCACACCATGTAAACAACCACTAACTAACACTCATTTTCGGATGCTTACGAACGTTCGATGTCCTACATGTGCAGTGTTTATTGCTTACAGTCTGAGATAAGGATGGAGGATCACTTTGTAGAGTAGTTGCTTTTTCACAGATGATTGAATATCTTGCCAATTTGCTATCGAAGCCTTTCTTATCTTCACTGTGGCT